GTTATTACTGCCGTATATAATCTCGATAGTTATTGTTCGGGGCTTGGAAAGTTTATTGGTGTGATAACTATTTCCGTTTCTTTTCCACACCGAAAATTTTGAAGTTGACCAGTAGGTAAGACAGGTACGGAAAATGAAATGTAGTAGATTAAAAGTAGTTTTGTAAAGTTGCTTAAAACGTAGTGTTTTACTGCATTTTAACTGCCGCATAGAATTTGCTGTGATTTTCGTCATATATTGTTCAAATCATTCAGGACGTTAACGTTAACTTTTGAACGTACTATGTTTACAGTGATTTTACTTGCAGGAAAACGTCTTGATTGTTTTTTCAGTCTTCATCTTTTTTTCGGTGATTTACTTTATATGACAGTCTACCATTTTGAAATTGTTTTGTAAAATATATGACATTGTTGAAACCTGTACAGCAGTTTTTCGGAATAGTTGTTCCTAAGTTGACAAGCAGTTAACGACTATTGATTTAACTTTGGAAAGGAAATCAAAAAGGAGATTTTAAAGATCTTGCCAATTTATTTGAATTCGAAAAACTGGTTGAAACGTTACATATGCTGTTTTGTTGTCGCATGCCAGTTGTATAATTACACATCTAACATTTTCTTTCGGAATAAATTTTTTAATGTTTTTATGTACACATTTTGATACCTTAGTCAACTGCATCAGATATTTTTCTTACCTTACACTCTTACAAGTGATTTGCGATAAAATGGCGTTTCATAACTGTGATGAAGAAGTATTTTTGCACTGTCTTTTTTTTCTGCGATTTAGTTTGGTAAGGGAAAGGTGTCGGAAAGTATGCTAGTAGGGCAGTTATTTACAATTTAATCAAGGTCATTTCCTGGTTGGAAGTTTGAGTTTTATGGTTAATGCATCCTCATGCCTTGAGGGAAGTTTCGTGTAACTGTTGAGCTGTGTTTCACACTGCAGGTTTCATGGTACCTTGAGAAAAGAATCGTCTAGTAAATAGTCGGTATTTTATTTTATTTTTCTTTTTTATTTTGGGAGGTCATTTGTGAGTTACTTGGCCAGATCAGTTACAGGTAAGATGCTGCGACGGAGCACAGGTGCAGTTTCTGATCTAGTTCTTCGGGGAAATGTCTGCTTCCTTCATCAGAGTTCCGTAAACAGGTTCAAGGAGGGTCGTGGCACTGGTGATCAGGGTATACATTTTCTTATTTGTTATCTGTTTCGATTGTTTTGGGTGTGCTGTTTGTTGTTTCACTAGAAAATTTTACTGGACTTTGACGATGCATTCTGCAATTATTGTTTTTTTTTTAATTTTTTTATTTATTTATTTATTTTTTTTTTTTTGCGTTTTTGAGACTAAGTTCAATCTTACCCGGTTTCACTAGTAGGGCAGGTGAGCATATTAAGGGCCACTTATTGAAAACTTTATTGATGAATTATTATCGGAAGAAATGTAGTGTTGAGTTTTGAAGCTGGCTGGATGGTCGTGTTTCAAGTTTGTTGATTCTGCCGCTTGCTAAACTGTTGTTCGTTTTCAGATTTTCTTATTTAATGTTCACTTTTGAAGATATGCGAAAAACTCGACAATTTGTATCTTTACATGATTTTAGTTGGCTCATCTATAGTGCTAAGTTAGCGACCTATAATAATTGAGGCTGAAATGACTGCAGTTGCAGTTTAACGGTTAAATATGGTTCAAATTTAAGGGAAAAGCAGTTTATTCTCTAACGAAAGAAGGTGGAAGGACGATCTCACTTTTCACGCACTTGGTACGATTGATGAACTGAGCTCACAGATAGGGTGAGCCATTAGATTATTTAGGCACTGTAATCTGTTAAATTTCTTGCTTACATTCAACTTTTTGGTAGAGTCGCTTTGTCTTCAGCAGTATTACTTCAGAAAGTGCAGAAATTATGTTCTTAAAGAAGGATTATTCGATGTTTGTGAGGTTCTAACACGAGTGCAAAGTAGCTTACAAGACGTTGGAGCTCATGTTGCAACCCCGCCAGATGCTTCCAAGTCTAAATTAAGTGAGCCGCCCGAAAGTTCAAGTCCTTTATAAGCTGTTTGAGTTTGGTTACCTTCTTCAAATTAATTTGAATGTTGCGTCTAAGTTCCCAGAGCGCACTAGATTATCCTCGTTTCAGCGAGAACGAAGTTCGACGTTTCGGTGTACGAATTTGTGAACAAACATATCGATGTTTACGGTGATCGAGTACCACCACTTCGAGAGTTTATATTGACGGTAAGAAATATTCTTTGTCCTTGTGCTAAGTAAAATCGATTTTTACTTTCCATTATTCATTTAGGGTGGCAACGATGCTTCGTCAGAGTTACAGTGTGCACGAAGCATATGCCGACGGGCGGAACGTTGCATGGTTCCACTTTTAAGAGAGGATGTTATCGATAAGAATGCACTTCGTTTTATAAATAGGTATTATACGCCGTTATAATAAATACAGGAAGTACTTCACAGCTTAAAATTTATGTGAAATTATTTAGCTGAACGTGTTGTCTATGAGTGCAATTTCTAAGCACTACTCGTTTAATCGTTTGATCATCTTTCAGTCCCTTAAAGCGTGTGGCTGACCAACTGCTTCAGTGTTCAACTTATAATGCGTTTTTAGGCTTTCGGATCTGCTTTTTGTTCTTGGAAGGTTTACATGTTACACGACCGGGACTAGAGAAAGTCGGTATCAGAAATTTCATGAATTTGATCCTCTAAAAACCTATTATCAATTTTGAAATCTTTCTAGCATAATAGGATTCCTAATGACGATCACTGATTGACCTTTTTTGATAGGTTTTTTCAGTCGTCAAGTTGGTTTGGGTCTACATTATCGTAGCTATGAGTAGGGTAATGAGCGAGGTGTTTTTTAGTACTTTTGCAATAAGGTTGATTTTAGAACTGTAAAATGCATTTCGCTAATGAATTACGGAACCTGTAGGAAGAGATTGGTGTGAATGCTTGTGGTCTTTGTTACTTTTTTTGGATGTGAAGTGCAGTTAGAACGTCATTTGTTGTACAATACTTTTTTCTGGTTCTATAAATGTTTTCAATCCACTTGCCTGTGAATTGCTCCCCCTTAGCTCCGTTAAGTTGTTACATCATAAATTCTCTGAAACAGTGAAATTTTTAAGCGCTGGTGGATAGTTTTAGTTTTGCGTGCCTTACAGGAATTTGCAGAGGCGCCATTAAAAAGCATTTAGTTTTCTGAATTATTTGATGTTGTTCAGTGATACTGTACGGATGCGTCAGCGCTGATTTTTAACTGAGCTTCTGCAGGCGTAGATGAAAAGTTTGAACAGTACGCTGATATTATTCTAATTATCATTCCAAAGAGGTCTGTGAGAAAAATTGATTTTTTCTCTTGATTCATTGCTGCATATGGTTCCGATAGTTTCTGATTTATACTTAAGGCATCATCCCAGTGCAAATCCGTTCTTTTTGCACTTCCTCAATCCTGAACCTTTGCATAGTGTTTAAGTTTGCCTTGAAAGAAAAACATGCCTAGAGCTGCAACCGCACAGCATACTGTCGATAAGTTAGACTTGATAGGATCTCTTTTTTGTAGCGTTTCTTCCCAGACTACGATCAACGATTTACGTTTCCAGTCAACTCAGCTGACTTTGTCAATTTTCTCACCGTGACTGGGAACTCAGAAACCGATTTTTCATATATAGGCCCAGTATTTCACGTATTAGAATTTGAACGGAATCTGATTCTCCGCAGTTTTATGGGTTCCTTCTTAAGTTTCAAACACAAGTCACAGTTTAGAGATACTGAGCGTAGGACTTTACCGCATCTTGCTTGCTGTTTCCTGATCGCTAACTCTGCCTTACTTGCAGTAAATGTTTTATACTGTCTGCGTCTAGTTCCAAGACAAAGTTCTAAGCCTGCTTACTTGGGCGGCTAAATAATTCGCAGCTGGCTGCTTCGCGCATCAAATTTCGGGAATGGTCATCAGTATATGGCTCTAGACGCTTTAGAGGCAATGTCAGCTCAGATGCGCATGCATTAGGGGTGGCACAACTGCCGATAGACGGCTACCTAGAACTAAAACTCCAACACTGCACTTTTGGGCTGCTAAAGGGTGAAATCATAGCATGAAATGGCGGACTTGGGACATATGGACCTTGAAAGGGTATTGAGACAATCAAGGAACTCTGGACATAATGAGGTGAGTTAACTTCTTGGTGTGGGAGAGCTCAGTGGGAGCAGCCACAAGTGGCATGGGCCGGAGCACATCCTTTCTGTGTTTTCGATCAAAGTGCTGTAATTCTCTAAACTCATGTGCAGGAATCATTCCTCTTAGGAGAGAAGAATGTTTATTGGTGTTTAGATTTTATAACCCTTACATCGAAGCTTTGAATTGTACTATAGAGGACTACAATTAAAGATCAATTGGATTCAAAGACAAAAATCTTTGAGAAGAAATTAAACTAAGACGACACTTTGCATCACAACATCATTTTGAAGATGAGGCCAAAAACGAGCCGGCAACAACACATTTCAAAAAAAACTGTAAGAAACCCAAATTAAATCTGGATGAACAACTTGAATTGATGGCAAAGTTACCTTTGAAAGTTTGTCCTGCTAAATGTCATTCTTTTTACACTGGACAACAGAAATCTTAATCAGTCAAATTATGTTAACCTAGAAAATATATAGCGAGTGAAACCACTGAGCTCATCCACGCTCATCCATATAAGCTGAATATGCAAGACTTTATCAAAGACCTATCATATAAAAAAAATTATGAAGCTTAAATTAAAACTCTTCACCACGAACAGAAGGAAAGCACAGCAACTTGAGTAATACATCAGAAGAACCTCATCAAAAACTAATTTTAAAACGTAAATTCCTGGCCAATTTAGTGAACAGAGTCGGAACGAACACCATTAACACCAAAAGCCTACAAATGACAGAAGTTTTAGAAGCAAAGTCACAGGTTGGAATTACCGATTAAAACACAGCCCAAAAACTTTTGGGTCAAATACAAAATCAGTGAAATATGAGAACATTGAGACAAAAATTCACAAACAGGAAAAACAAAATAAGGAACAACAACAATTTTTGGTATATGAATTATTGACCGCCACTCAGAAGAAAGTCAAGCACACCAATTTTCAAGAAAAGCATTTGTTTTAAATGTCAGCAGAATCCAACAGCATTTGTATCTGAGGCTCGAAATTTTATCTGGCAAGCAAGCTACCCAGTTTTTCATGAAAGCAAAATCAAAAATGAATCTCTAACGTCTTCATTTCGCTCACATTGCACAAAATTAATCTTTTGAAAACCAAAAAAACCAGTCACAGAATAAATGACAAAAGAAAAAGAAAAGCTTCTTGACGCTGGTGGCAAGAAAATCAGAACCAAAAGAACAGATTTAAAAATATGGAATCATTGACCTTGTGAAGCTTAAACCGTAATTGTGAGATCCTACAAACTCGAATAGCTTTTAGTACAGCTTTAGTTCTGTCTCACCGTCCGGGCCACTGAAACTCTACATTTTAAAAAGTAGCAAAACAAGGAAAACGCAATGGAGTCAGAAGAACTATCAAGTAGTCCTGAGCAGTTTTTTAGTGCATATATGAACAAGCGCCTTTAACTACCTACTTTGTAATGCTAAGCAAGAAAAGAAATACCAAAACCTCCTAATTCATTCATCACTTGCTCTTCAAGATTAGCATCTGATAAATAATCCACATCCCTCACAGTTAACCCGTCACGCTTCAGGATTTCGCCAAGCTTCGCCCAACACTTCCTATTAAAGCAAATTGCTTCATAAGTTTCCTGTACTTCAGGAATTAGCATAGCTAAATGCCTGAAAAATCTTTGACAACTAAGCTGTATAACAAAGCAATGGCATCACCTTGCAAAAAAAAAGCAATTTTGAGCACTTTGCGTAAGCGACTTCAATTCAGCAAAAACTTTTTTTTTTTTTTTT